TACCGTTGTAAGTCCTACTTTTCTTCATAGTGGATGGAGCAGTTTGGGGTGAACCAGAGTACCTCAAGATTCCGAAGGTGTAATTTCCGTCCGAAATTTGGCGGGAGTGTAGAAGGTTTCTCGATGCTTTGTGTTCAGCTCAGTCATTCTCCGACCATCGAGTACGGGCTACTCCGAGCGCAATTATCAACCCAATTATCTTCGCGTTATCATCACGACTATCAGCCCAAGTATCTTCGCAGCGTACCCTCGCTACAGGCGTTTACATGCTTTCTCGCACTGATTACGAGCAGTGTAATTATCATGCTTCACATTCACATTTCTCGCATCCGGCCTTCATCTGGTCTGTGTTTGACCAATCGCATGAACGTCACTTATCCTACATATCCAGTGTACTCTACTCTGTATCGCGTTGATGATCTGAAACACTTTCTTGTTGGTCTCGGACCGAATTGTATTTCCTTTGAAACTGCCTTGAGTGGAAGGTCTGCTATTGGGATTTGTATTATTACAGCTTCCTGATTGTTCGTTAACACTACCGTCATCTTGTCCAGTGTTCTTGTTCTTCTACTGGCTGGATACGCTTTGGCTCTAGGCCCTTCAAAGCGAATTGTCGCTTATATCAGCTTTGTATCGAACGAAGAATCGTAAACTTATGGAATACACTACCAGAAGGATAAATAGAGGTCGATTCTGTGGAGTGTTTTAAAACCCGTATCGATGATTATTTCGGAAACATGTGCTTTTGTGAAACGATGCACAGTCAATATCAAAAGAAGACATAGCATAACCGGAAATAATGACACCAATACCCGAGCACACCTACCCGAGCAAGGATAAACGATTAAAGGACTAGACACAAATGCTGATAATTCACAACGAAATGTCTTTGATTTTTCGTAATTCGCTAAAGTTGTACAGCAAACTTTCTACTTACTCTTAAATACAGTCTCAGTCTCAGTCTCATTGAAATTGTCAGTTGTGGAACGCTCTAATGAGTTTTGTCATTTCTGCGCCCACACTTTCCATTTTAAAAACGACTTGACAGTGCATTGAACCATCTGCTTGGAATTCTGCTAAGTGAATTATGTTTATCGAGTGGACAAGACTCAGATAAAGATTGTGCTCACCAACGGCCACAAAATCTCGGTAACCGGATATACATATGTTACTGGACAATATGATGGGTACACAGATGCGCGTTTCAATCTGTTATCAAATTTTGTTGAACTTTTATAATGTAAACAAACTATCTTAAAGGATCTGTTAAACCTTGGCCTTGTTATCCGTAATATAAAAGTGTTACGATGTTCCAGTTTGTTATGGATACTTTGCTGTCGATAGTCTCACGTACCCTATCCAGAGGACAGCAAGTTTATTGTCTTGGGCAAAAATCATATCCTTTGTGGACTGAACGAAGGGGCTCGGCTGTGTCCATTGCCAAATGATACACTTTCACGTACTATTTCTCTGGACAAACCCCCATGATACTATGCAGGACCTACAGTCTGCATGCAGCGATCAAACTTAGATATGGTTGTCTGGTTATACTGCCACTTCCGGAAGATCATCAATGCTCTTCTGTCACAGAGCTCCGATTTGGACACGAATTTGCTCTGCCATCTCATCCCTACGAAAGGCCACGATTTAGCAGACCAAGCAGATGGTATTTCTGCACTATCTCATGTTTCATTTTAATCAAGATATCAAAGTAGCCTATGAACCGGTTTCTCCGATGCTCAGTTAATTGCGTGCATTTCAGTTCTCTTTTGCAACCACACTCCTGGTTATACTATCCTGCGATTCCAATCCTACTCCAATCCTGTAAACATTTTCCCATTGTTCTATGCAGGTTTCACCGAGATGTTGAAACCTGTGCATTCACACATTATCAAGACAATGGATGCGTAAATCATCTGAACGGTAAACACGTCTCCCGGTCCTCTTCCTGTGGGTATATAGGGTGCGTGAATGGAGATGTGGGTGTTGCAAAGGAAACCACCCCTGGTCCTTCAGTAAGATAAGATGTCCTGTGGTAGCCCTAGGGAAGCCGCAGTGGTCGGCAGTCCCGGAATCAAAGGACACCAAGCAGATAAACACCCGGAATGTTTTCCTTCAGAACGTTTTGTATATGAATGGTCATACCTGTTTCGGCGCTTCCCCTGCACACCAAGATTAAACTATTTAGTAACGTAAAATCTACTTTGGGTTCATCTAGAGATCCAGTTTGAATACCTGATGCAAAAACTGAAAGAGCTGACGTCTACTTCTTCCCTTGCCAAGGATAGGCTCAGAACCACACTGGTTCATCATGCGCAATGATATCTGAGCTACGAATCAAAATCCTATAACCTCCTGACTAAAATACATACTGATGCCATCAGGGAATTGCGATTGAACTCAGGTGTGATGATTTCCAGGCCCGACAAAGTATCGGGATGGGTACCAATGGACAAATTTGAGTAAGTCTCCAAGATACACTCCATTTTGCAGGACACGGGGAAATGCTTACGTGCAACGGTACCGAAAGATAAGGTCGCACGGGATTAGCACAAGATTACCCAACTATTGAAAGAGTTGAACCGCATGAACTTGATAGATAACGCACTATTGGAACGACTTACTCCAGTTGGAACACATCCTCACCGACTTTACGGGCTACTTAACATACATAAAGCACAAGTTCATCTGCGTCAGATAATGGACATGTCAACCTCCGCTTTTCACTTAGTTGCGAAATGGACTATAGATTGGCTTGACACGGTACGCAACAAGTTGTGCAGTTACAGTGTGAGGATACCTTCGAATTTGGAAAAAAGCCGAATGCATGAAAATAAAGGGTACATTAATGCTATCTTTCGACGTTGAGTCACTTTTGACGAGGATTCCGTTGATAGAGACGGTTACTTTTCTTTGTGATTATTTAAATAAAAAGAGAATAGGTGTGGCCATTCCGGTGCAGAAACTGAAGGAATTTATCATGCCATGCACCTTCAACGGACAATTTCTATTTGATGGAATCTACTACAGACAGGTCGACGGAGTCGTGATGGGGTTTCCTGTAGGACTGTTTCTTACGGACATTTTCCCCGATCAGCCTGAACACGGACACATGAAACCCATCTCATCACCTGATTTCTATTGTCGATATGTGGACGACAAGTTTATTGTGTGATTCAGACACTGATGTTTGCAGCCTGTTGAACCAGGTAAAGTTTACCAGTGGAATTGAAAATGATGCTAAACTGGCCTTCTTGGACGTGTTGCTAAGAAGAAAGGAAGACGGTACGCTAGAAAGAAGTGTGATTCAGAAAGCGACGTGGGTCGGTCAATACAAGCATTTTCTCAGCTTTGTACCATTGAAGTACAAATGGAATCTTGTTCGTTGCTTATTCTTTCGCGCTACCAAAATTTGTAGCCCAGAGATATTGGAAGCAGAAAAGAACCGTATACTTCAAACGCTGCAAGAAAAAGGTTACCCAGTCCCGTTCATCCGAAAGCACTCAGTGGTACACGATCGTCGTAAAATGATTGCATCTGTTCCAAAGCAAGATGTGTTTCTTTCTTTTCTATTTAAGTTACGTATTGCATTCAATTTGCTGAAGAGAAGTGTGTCCACTGCAGTAGCTCGAACCTTTCCAACTGCCTATCCACACGTCATTGCCGAAAGTGCGCCGTTTGTTGCCCAACCTCAAAGACAGGTCCCCGGTCCAGTCCGAATCTGACATTCTATAGCAATTTACTTGCACCTGTGCTGTGAGGTACATCGGATATGCAACTAAGCGTCTGTCTAAACGGATAGCGGAGCACTGTCCCACGGCATTGCAGAAAAGTACTCTCACATGTATCACGAGTTATATCCTAGAACACCTAGTCGAAAGTGGACGCCAAATTAGGATCGCCGAGGCTTTCAAAGTATTGTATGTCGTTACCCCAAAGGGTTTAGAAAAGGATTGTTAAGGACGGCCGAAGCCATTGCAATCAGGATAGCACAACCCGAGCTATGCAAACAGAAGGCGCTTGTTCAAGCGCACCCTCTACCCTCTACATAGTTGCAGACAGCTTGTACTCCATACGCTGACAACTGCCGGGTGATGGCTTAGTCACTCAACCAGTCGACGAACGTGTGCTCAGTCTCGCGGGTAAATGTGTGTGAGTGTATGTGGTCTTACGTTTACTGTGGTAACTGTTTCCTGAGTAGATGGATCAATTTATTGATTAAATCAGCAATGTTCTACCTCGTTCTGTTTCCGCCAATTACTGCCTCGATTCACCAGCCAATCCTGTTTCCTTTTTCCATTTTATATCTGCAAACGCCTGATGAGATTTATCGAAAATGGTGCTGTTCGCATCCTTGTGTTCTAACATTTACATTGGTATAATTTTCGAATTATTTAGTTGTTGGTTTAATCACTCGCTGTTTGTATGATTTGGGCCACATCTGGCACTCTGTTGTTTTGAGGCCACAGCTTCTGTGTATTCAGAGATAGTTTTGTGGTAATCCGTTTTCACGTAATCCTTCCTACTTCTAAGACAATCACCCCGCTTTTTAAGGGCCATGGTGTTAACTATTGGCCTAAAAACATTATGTTTCTTGTGATTTTGACTTTAGATCTGGGTATCCGTCAACCGCAATACAAGATGCACCAATAATGACTTTTTGTAAAGGCTATGCAGTGCAGTTCTTGTCATTCTGACCTAACTAGCGTTAGAACTGTGCGAACACTTGCACCAATGGAGTGCTCTAAAAATTATTGGTACAAAAGTGAAACCTGAACCCATTGCGTAACGACGATCAATCTGTATGCATAAAATTTAAAAAATAAACGGTCAAATCAAATTCCTACGGCTTGTTTCCTGCATCGGTGATCAAATGCTGCTTTTACTACCCATTTATTCAAGAAATATATGTATATTTTCAAAGTCCGATACTCATTACGCCTGGTTGATTTATGTCATGAGCAAGTGGTAACGAACTTCATGCAAACCGGTATTGGTACCTGTTTGAACCACATTTCCCAGAAGTATTCTGTGCATATCCTTCTTTTCTGAAACCATTCTGTCAAAGTTTTCATTGGTAAGACCGACAAAGTCGGCTCCAGACGTCAAGTCGACTTGCAGTATGTTGCATTGGGCTTCGAACAGATCTTTGGACATTGGACATTGAAAGAGGAGAAAGCTATCTGGCATCTTTGCTGCCGCTGGTGGCCGTATCTTCAATACTACATCAATCACGGCACCAACAGGAGCAGTGATGCGTCCGTCGTCAAATATTATGAATGTTACCTAAGATAGGAGACGAGAATTAAAGTTTCACAGTTGAAGTAAATAAGGGTTCCAAGTTGTCTACATAAACCATAAGTACTATTTTAATACTATTATCATAACCGTATCGATAAGAATAGGTTTAAAAATTTGTCATTGTACGGGGCATGCTAATGCTTACTAAACATTTTACCACACAGTTTCCAGTGCAACATATCCCCGTGGGATGAATGCTGGATTATTTTCGTTACCGCGGATTCACTTCCACCGAATATGGTGCAAACCTTTGCCAAAATGTGTGAAAGGACTGGACGTGTTCGACACCGTCAGACTTCATACAGGGCGAATTGTTGCTTCAAACACTAAAAGCAACATATTGTTATCATTAACTATTAATATATTTGCAACGTTAGTACAGTGAGCTAAAATTGAACCACTACTGGTTGCTGCAACTCATCATTGTTAAACCCCCACGTAAATGTCATGAACATGGGAGGGTGGAAGCAGTTAAGTTGCTAAGCCCGTTCGTTTCTTGTAGATGTGGTCAGTAACTATTGCATCAAACCATTTGTACTCGCCTAGCCATTAAAACCAACGGTAACATTTGAACAGAAAACCGCATCGTCCCTTCAGTAGGCAGATGAATATTTCGATTAAACTGCTGAAACGTAACGATACGGCTATTCTTCCCAACACTGCTAAATAATTACACCCCGGTTATCAGTCGCTTGCCCCCTATACAGCACTTACGACGCTATAATTTTCCTTATTACATTGCACAGGTACTTCTCCTGGTGTACAGTGATACATTTGCATACCATGATACGTTACTCCGATGTTTCAACGCCGCCTATCGCTGCCGCATCAATACGAAAGCGATTTCACTTCAGACTAATATCAATTAAAATCGGTTGCAGTTGATTCCATTTAGACTAGAGTGGCTAGAGTACCATCAAAAAGCAACGGATATTATTCACAACCAAGTTGTTTCATAGTCCGCTGAGTAACATGGGATAAATATACCTGTGAGTCATCTTGAGTGTATTGAGACATTGTGCCATTTGGATCCACGTCAAATTGAAGCATCATGGCGGCGTTGCTGACAAACACACCGTTTCGCTTCAGCTGAACACTGACGCGAGATTGAGCTAGCAAGCCAGTAGTATCCCTTGATGGATAGTAGTACCAGGGCCTCGCGTAGAAGACTATTCGGAACTGCAATTTAGCCAGAAAAGGAGTTCAACTCGAGCGGCTTTGTGAGTGGTCTACAAGCTTTTGGTCAATTTCGCGGACTAGACCACCCGGTGTTTATGAGCATCAACAGTGATATATTTGAGGAATAAAATTTTCAGTCTGAAGAATATTTGTGTGATATAACTAAAGCAGGATGACCATGTTGCTTGTGAGATTTCGCTGACAATTTAGAAATTTTTGTTTTTTGGCTCAAACTCATACTAAGGTAACTGCAACAAGCGTCGAATACAGACGCGCTGAAAGTTCACGGTAGCATGTCTGAAGAGGACAGGGGAGTACTTGTTATTCGGTAAGCATGATAAGCATGATTCGATAAGCATGATGATTAACTACCAAAGAATGGGCTTAATATTCTAATGGTGCAACCAACAGGGATGGCATAATATTTGCAGATGCTTTTCTCTTATCGGCTGTTATCAAATGTCGAGTGCAGTATCAAAGGCGATTGGAGCTAAGCTTGAACCTGTCAGTAATCTTGTCTATACTTTCAATGCCCCACTGCTAAATCATCTGAATTAAAGTAACATTTATAAAGTTACATATATCAAAAGAGCTGAAAATAAAAATCATTTAACTGAACATATCAAATCTATCCTCTGCCGCAGGATAACATCGAATGCATGAGCATTAGGCTAAACCGAGTCTTCCAGACAGCATCACCGCGCAATAACTACTTTGCTTACTATTCAATGCTTATTAACTTTTAGCAGTTAGTATATGGCACTCACTTCCTGTGGTTATGTTAAGCAGTGTCGCATTTGGAAAAGCATCGCAACACGCTTTTGCTATTTTTCGTCACTGAAACCCCAGACTATGCAGTCAGAGCCCATCACTTTTGTTTACGGGTGTCTATGAAGAAGTAGGCATTAATTCTGAGTCACCGCTGACATGCACTACGCAATAGTATGGCGTTGTATTTAAATCACTGGAGGTCTAAGCCATCCTGTAGCTCAAAATAAGCGACTTGAATTACTTATGGTGATCTTAGTTGCTTGGCATTCTGAAGCTATTGTTGTTCCGAGGACCTATATACAAGGGTTAAACGCCAGACGGAGAAAAAGAACTCATGTCATTTAAAATGTATTTGGTTAAATTGCAGTTTAAAGCACTTGAAAACTAAAACCTAAAAAATAGGCATTGAGTTTTTCCCGGGTTTCTAGTTGCTGCAACTAGGATTTCTCTCTACTCCAGCAAATTAATCTGCTTATTTCTGCTTGTATCACTGATTCCATCTAATCAATCTACCGATTTAGCAGTAAATTCTTGACAACATGTGAGGCATATGGATAGTTAGTTATGATTATTCTACATACAGTACTCAATAATTGATTATTGTTATTATTTTCACCAATTGAGTTAGAATATATACCCACAAAATTCGAATTCCAATAGGGTGGTCTTACTACCAGTCGCAGCTAGGTTGGTTGGAGCCTAATTCTATTTAGATTGCGAACGCACGATAATTGGCGTCATGGTCTGTGTTTATTCCAAAATGAATTCGACTATCACATCCTTAAACGTAAATGCATGTCCCCGAAAGATACAAGGATACATGGAAAAATTTGAGATAAGGTGGATCACTAAAGCTAACCTTTGCGAAGACCTTAAAGACGCTCACTTTTTAACTGTTGTTGGATTAGAGGCCTATTCACTCCTGAAGGATCTGGCTTATCCTCAGCTTTCGTAAAAGTTATCATGCGACAAGTTGAATGACCTACTTTGTTACATATATTACCGGAAATTTCGTGGTTGTTGAATGGGAAAACTTCAGCTTTTGATACGTCAACCTAATTAGTCTGTTCGCGATTTCATCCAACTTCCGTCTCAAGCTTAAGCTTGTGCGTTTGGGGATAAGCTTGATGAACACCTGAGAGATCGAACATTGCTGGCATAAATAATCCGGATTTATTGCGCTAGCTCTTATCAATTCCAATACCGACTTATAATCACATGGTCCACCTGCCTGCACTATCAGGATGTTTCTGATAGTATAAAATCCCAAAGAATTGCTGTTGACTAACAAATTTTGTTTTGCTCAACGGAACTACGAGTTCATGCGGAAACGAGAAAAGAGTGGCAAAGCTAACGCGTTTTAACCTCACAGCACTGCTCAATCGCACGCCCAGAAAAATGCTGACAATGTCAAGTCTAGTCAAGTCTACAGAAAGATTGTGTGTGTTTCTTGTGAAAAATTGCATTCCCGATATAGTTGTCCGCATCGGAATTCTAAATACCATCAATCTGCAAACGCCGGACATGTCTGAAATGTTTGCCGTAAATTTGAACGTTACTTGTGGATTTTTGTGAGAAGTGTAATGTTCGTAGAAAGTAGAAGTCACGATTAAACTTCACACAATAAACTGCCTCGACGGGGAACCGTCGAGGAACCGTCTCTCATTCAGGCCTTAGAAAAGGGAATAGAAATTAGTACGGGGCGCTGATTTCTGCTCTCAAACGAGGATGGTCTCTTTCTCTCAAACAGAAGTTTCCAGTTTTATGAGCGTCGTGATGAGTTGTGTTACACCTGATTGATTACTGTGTGTGAATGATCGTGCCGTTATTCCGCCGACAGCTGTTCCGACGGAGTTACACTCTGGTCATCCTGGTGTTGAAAAGATGAGGTCCTTGGCTCAATGCTTGTACTGGTGGCCGGAATCAGATGCAGATATTCGACGAACTGCTTCTGATTGCCCGAATTGTAAGCACAAGATTCTACAGCAGCCGTCCAAGTGGACACTATGGCCGATGACATGCGAGCCTTGGCTGAGGATACATACGGATTACTGTGGACCATTTCTACAGAATTACTATGCACTTGTGATGGTGGATTCTTATTTAAAGCTGACAAAGTATTTCTGACTGATAAACCAAATGCTGTTTTCACCGTCCGTGCCTTGCGAAAAGTGTTTAGTGGGGAAGTAGTCCCATTAGCTGTTGTAACTGACAATGGCTCACACTTTTCAGCTTCAATTGGCGGCAGTCTTGCGTGTCTTCAATTGTTACTGCTTCATGACATCCAATGGTCAACTGAAAACCTTGTCGCAACTTTAAAACCTTTTGTTATCTCCTGTGCTTCTACCTCTTTTAATGAACTTGGCCGCTGTGTTAATAACTTCCTTCTTCAATAGCGTAACTGTGCGCATTCCACCACTAAAGATATACCCACTAAATTGTGTAAATCCAGCCCATTGAGGTCAAAAATACTTGGCTTGGGAACCGTTATAGTATCTAATTTCAGAGGTAGGGCTTAACGTCCTTCACCAAAAATCATTTCTAACAAAATTGGAAGTCGCATGGTTAAAATTCAGGACCTCGATGACGGCTCTGTACATAAACGTCATGTTGATTGCATACTATATAAGGATTCCGGTCAGTTGTCATTTGATTCTGTGTGCACTGAAAATACTAATGACAATTCAGTTTCAGATTCTCATGCGAGTTCTGATCAGAGTCAGCCTCCAAGGTGATCCGCCAGATTGCAACCGAAATCCCAAGCGAATTGCGGAAACTTGGCGTTGCACTCAAGCTGCGGAGCATGTGATGATTGTACATACAATATTCATTAATTGATTATTGTTATTCTTTTTCATCAATTGACATACAATATATACCCGCAACATTCGAATTCCAAGTCGGGTGTCTTTACTACGAGTCGAGACTAGCTTGATTGGAGCGTGATTCTAGTTCGATTCCGAACCCACTATACACCATGCTGAATCTGGATGAAATAGATGGCATATTTTCACTCTTTTAAACAGCGCAAAACAACCGATTCCCATGAATAGGGGATTTTGATAAATATAAGTTGGGTTTCTGCGTAGCGACCTCATAATCATGTATACTATCAACTATCTGAAAGCACTAAATGCCAGTTTCTTTTTTCGAAAGTAGTCAGCAATGACAATATATCGACACTTTCGATATAAAATTAAGACCAGAGCATTACTGCCCGCCGATGTCCACCATAACTCAGTGGCATAAGCTGCTGGATATCAGCGCAATCTGTTGGTTTTCATGGGTTCGAATCTGATGGACATGCACACTACTCACGAAGACGGCAACCACCGTCTAGTGTTGCTCCGAGTATGCGGTTAGCTCAGATTTAAAAGTTGGTGCTCCGAATCCCCGAAGTGGATACGATGGGTGGGTCATACCAGAGTAAACGGACGGGCCAACCGAACGAGCCTACTAGCCAATGGGATGCGGGTGTAGCTGATTTGATCGCTGGACATGGATTGGCTGACATTCATATGAGTTAAGCATCATTTGTTTAACTGAGTTAAAGGAAGAAGCTTACTGCCTCGGAGGGGTCGTTATTTATGAACGTGACCGCGTAACTTATATCGAGGAGTTGGACTTGCCAAATGTGCTGTACTTTTGCCGAGATATCTTTGCCGGATAAACGCTTGTACCTGAAGGACTGAGTTCTACAACATGGTTTCAGAGAAGACAAAGAGGAACCCCACCGGCGGCGCTCGGATGCTGTTTGGATATCCAGCGTCTATTCCGATGCCTGCCCTATCGAACCTGGATGAACGGAACTTGCGAGTAATTGACGTCTATGGAGGAGCACATTACTACATTTGGACTAACAGCCGATGATGTATCGCTTGGCCGTGTTTCGACACGCAGCACGAAATGACGCACATCGTGTTCTAGAGACATTACACTGCGGCAAAGGCAAAGATCCCAACAATTTGGAGACGGTCATTGAAAAGTTCAGTGCATTTTGTGAAGGTCAAACCAACGAGACCTACCATCGTTATCTTTTACTTTCGCGCAACAGAGGCCCAAATGAATCAGTCAGTGCGTACATCACTGAATTAAACCTTTTGACCCGATCCTACAATTTCTGTAAATGCTTGG